ATCATTCCCATATATGAGCCACATATCCATATACCCTTTCCGAATACTATATAGCCAAATAGTAGCCTAGCACTTTCTACTCCAGCCCTCGAGAATGCTCCTTCAACCTATAAGTTGTAACCTGGTTACACACAGAAATCACAATAGCGTGATGCATCAAATGAACAAATCCACAAGGGCCGTAACGAGGATCGAACCCTCTTCACGGCCCTTGTGGAGTTGTAACCTGGTACTCTAATACCCACGTCACAGCCCTTGAGGTTATCTTGAGATGATTTCGGGGCTTTAGTGTCCCCGCGGCCCGGTCCTCGACCAGACCTCCACCCCCAGGAAGCAGCCCGTGACAGCTGACTAACACCCAGGTACCTATTTTACTGCTAGGTAACAGGGGCATAGGGTGAAAGAAACTCTGCCTATTATTTCTCGCCGGCGCTTGGGATCGAACCCAGAACCACAGGATCACAAGTCCAGCGTGCTGTCAGCTCGGCCGACTCGGCCCGAGCGGCCCTCGTGTAAGCGATCTAAGCCCACATCTGACCTCGTCTCTGATAACGCAAATAAAAAGGATACATGTTGTTGCTGCCGCGAATTGCGGAAGAGAAATCAGGCGTTTCGTCCGAGCTACTTCTGCTCTGATTATCGGATCGCATGCGAGCTTGGAAAGCCACCAACCGTGAAACAGAAAGAAGGGTCGACAGATCTTACATTTTGAAGAGCGTTGTAGGCGGTTAAAATAACCTTGGTTAATGCCTGGTTTCTGATTGGCGTTTGATGAGTTATGTCTCCTTTTCCTATTGGCTGCTGTCGCAGCATGTCAGGTTCTTTATATCTGATTGGCCGTATTCCTATTGAAAAGGTATACATAACCCTAAGTTCTTATATACGGGAATAACATGCATTATGAACATACGTCCAAAGTGAAATTAAATGTTGCAGGCGATGAGTCACAATAACGTGGCTGAAGTATGTTGACCAGATCACACACTAGAAGGTGAAGGGACGACGATGTTTCGGTCCGTCCTGGACCATTCTCAAGTCGATTGTCCCGCTTCTAATGTTGATCTTCTCGGGTGGCTGAAGTATGTTGACCAGACCACACACTAGAAGGTGAAGGGACGACGACGTTTCGGTCCGTCCTGGACCATTCTCAAGTAGATTAATAATCTGAAATTAAATATTGCTTTGCAGGTTCACTGTGCCATAAATACTCAACATGTTAGCTCTTTAGATGAGCCTGATCTCTTGTTTTTTTTATGTAAGAAACACTAGCTGGTCTCGTTAGCTCATAACCCAATTAAATTTCTTTATTATGCACCTCATACCCATCCCATGTCCGGTGGTGTGAAGGATTACAGAGGCACATAATCGGTCCAGGAACTGAAACCTCTCTAGTTTAGCAAATAAACCCGAGGCCAGTAGAGTCGTAGAAATATATCTGGGAACTAGAATATCAACAGAGCGGTGAAATATGATCTTTAAAACGAATTTGATGAACATAGAAACACCCTTGTGCTTCAGAGAGGGAAGGAACTTTTTATTTTTTTATTATTATTTTCTACCACAGACGTGACCACACATTTACAATGCTAAGCAACATATCTACAAGCTGACATGATAAGCGTATGTAAAAGAAAATATTATAGCTAAATGAAGATTCGCAAATCTTTATCACTGTCAAAAGAGATTAGTGTCTCGAAATGCGTAAACAAAATTATTCAGACAACGTAAGTCTACATGCTAATTAAATAATTATGAAATTGTTAAATTACTTGTATAAAGGAGAAAAATTAAAAGAACAATTCGAGGCTAACAAAGATTAATTCAAGAAGATTAACGAAGAATACTTAATTTTCACATTTATATAATATCCACTTAAACTGATAATGATCATTAATTCTTTTCTTAGAGCTAACGCAGTGAACTTAATGCTCAAGAAACGAAAAAAAAATCGATTAAATTTGATCATCGATTATATATATATTCTGATTGGAAGAATGAAGAAGTAAAAAATTAGGACAAACTCCGGTCAACGATACAAAAGCAGATACCAATCAACCACATGAAGAGAGAGAGAGATTCTGATCAACGACATGAAGCCAGATTCCAATCAACGCTACGAGGACAGACTCCAATCGCCAATCCCTAGGGGGGGGGGGGATGCGTGACCGGGAAATTGTTATTTATCGTTAATTATTTATGGCGATAAGATCGATAATCGCCTTTATCCGGTGCGTGAGTTCCTCCTTGCTAGCTAACGTGTGAGACTGGGAAAGGTAAGGGGTAGTTAGGGTGATTAGAGATGGGGAAGGGGAGGGGGATTGGGGGAAGGTGAGACTGATGAGGATAGTAAGGAGGAATGAGAGATCAAGCAGTTTCACCAAGAACCTTAATGTCTGCCCTGTGAACCGTGTTTGGGGAGGGGATGGTGGGGGGGGTCGTCTTAGTTCAAAAGACAGTGGGAAAAGAGTGGGAGAGAAGAAATTACAAGAAATGAACTGATTAGAAATGCATTTAAAAGCAGCAAAAACGAAATAGGAATATTATTTCAGAATGAAATATTTTTTCTCTCTCACTCACTCACTCACTCACTCACTCACTCACTCACTCACTCACTCACTCACTCACTTTGACGCGTGACAACAACAAGAAACAGCTAACTAGACCCTTCCATCCTTCTTCCCTACCTGTTCCTTCACACCCCCCACTATCCTGTACCTCGTACATGATTCCTTCTCCATCCTCACTATTCCCCATCCCGCCTAACCTATCCCATAACCCACCTCTCCCACATCCCCCTACTTTCCTCCCAAACCCATGGGAATCACAGACATGATTTGGCCACGTGTGATGATAGCCACGTGTGATGATAAATGTTGATTTACAGGAGGTAAGCTGTGGCCTTATCGTCGCGCCATCAGAGGTATGGAGCGCCCAGAGAGAGAAATCTTTGGTGATTTATAATGCCTCATGTAGCCTTAGCCGGCATACCTGGATTAATGGTTCTTGTAGATTCACCGACTGGGAGGATTCAGAGATCGTGTGACTTTGAGAATATGGTTGATTGGGCGATCTCTTTTTTTTTAATAGACATCTGTAGCGATTGGAACCTAGAGGGAGGGGTTTAAAGGATCTAAATTAATTTTTTTTAATTTTTGCCCCCAGGGGCGAGTTTATTGGACTGTGCCACTCATCCTGTGAGTGGACATACCGCCATAGTAGCATGTACAACACTCCCCAATAGGAAGAAAACCCAAAGGATCTAGTCTAGCCTTCATGTTGCGATCTGAAGGCATGTTGACCAGATCACACACTAGAAGGTGAAGGGACGACGACGTTTCGGTCCGTCCTGGACCATTCTCAAGTCGATTGTGTCCAGGACGGACCGAAACGTCGTCGTCGTCCCTTCACCTTCTAGTGTGTGGTCTGGTCAACATACTTTAGCCACGTTATTGTAACTCATCGCCTGCATATGGATCTGAAGACATCATTGTGGTTGAGAGATTCTGAATTTTGAATTCAGAGAGATTCGGAAATTCGGAGATTCAGAATTCGGAAATCTGGTTTCAGCTCTGGTTTGACGTCCGATTTGGTTGAAAGTCCTCAGTGCAAGAGTAACTAGCTAATACCTCTTTAACACAATCCCACCAGCCGAGTGTGTTTAGGAGCAAGCCATGGCCAGGTGAACCGATTCAAACGATTCAAACTGCACTGTTCATATAGTCCCTATTAAGACTTTCTGTGAATGCTCTAAAGACAGCCTTTGCCAGGTCATGTACGAAAGGATCCTTTTTACGTCATTGTTTTCAGGCTTTGAATGTCGGTTCGTTCAAGTGTACAAGGAGGTATTTGATTTATTCATCTAGTATTGATTGTTGTGGAGGGTTGCATGACCTAGCTGTTGTAGTGGTGTGTGGGGGGGGGGGGGGGGGGGTTGTAGGTGTGACCTTGGGCAGGAGGGGGGGGAGGGGAGGTTGTATATCATCTGTATTGTTCGTTCTCATGCCATTCGTTCATAGTGTTGATTGTGTACCTATTCTTCGGAGTCTTGAGAAAACAAACAATAATGAATGCAAAGATTAACTTGATGATTTTTCTCCCTTGAGTGCACCCTTTCTGTTTCAACGCTGCCTCGCCTCTTTCTTGCTGCCTCGCCTCTTGCTTGCTGCCTCGCCTCTTGCTTGCTGCCTCGCCTCTTGCTTGCTGCCTCGCCTCTTGCTTGCTGCCTCGCCTCTTGCTTGCTGCCTCGCCTCTTGCTTGCTGCCTCGCCTCTTGCTTGCTGCCTCGCCTCTTGCTTGCTGCCTCGCCTCTTGCTTGCTGCCTCGCCTCTTGCTTGCTGCCTCGCCTCTTGCTTGCTGCCTCGCCTCTTGCTTGCGGCCTCGCCTCTTGCTTGCTAAATTCCTCTACGTGAAAAGCTGACACACACAGTCATTTTAAGCAGCTTAGATCAGACTCACAAATACTTATTTTGATTTAGAAATTGCCATTAAACAAATGATGTAAAGCTCGAGTCTTGCTTGAATGATTGTGAGCATGTTAAACAATATTGTGATTGTTTATTTAGTTCAAAGGAAGGTTGATTATTCGTGTGAGATGATTGTGTTCACGAATGTTCATAATCTCGTTTGATATTTTAATTATCTTTGCAGACATGTCTGATGGATTATTTGCGATGGTGCATATGAACATATGAACAAAGAAACAAGACTGAGTTTGCTAGTCCTGTGGGAGGAGAGTTAGTCCTGAGGGAGGAGAGTTAGTCCTGAGGGAGGAGAGTTAGTCCTGAGGGAGGAGAGTTTGTTAGTCCTGTGGGAGGAGAGTTAGTCCTGTGGGAGGACAGTTTGCTAGTCCTGTGGGAGGAGAGTTTGCTAGTCTTGTGGGAGGAGAGTTTGCTAGTCCTGTGGGAGGAGAGTTTGCTAGTCCTGTGGGAGGAGAGTTTGCTAGTCCTGTGGGAGGAGAGTTTGCTAGTCCTGTGGGAGGAGAGTTTGTTAGTCCTGTGGGAGGAGAGTTAGTCCTGTGGGAGGAGAGTTTGCTAGTCCTGTGGGAGGAGAGTTTGCTAGTCCTGTGGGAGGAGAGTTTGCTAGTCCTGTGGGAGGAGAGTTTGCTAGTCCTGTGGGAGGAGAGTTTGCTAGTCCAGTGGGAGGAGAGTTTGCTAGTCCAGTGGGAGGAGAGTTTGCTAGTCCTGTGGGAGGAGAGTTTGCTAGTCCAGTGGGAGGAGAGTTTGCTAGTCCTGTGGGAGGAGAGTTTGCTAGTCCTGTGGGAGGAGAGTTTGCTAGTCCTGTGGGAGGAGAGTTTGCTAGTCCTGTGGGAGGAGAGTTTGCTAGTCCTGTGGGAGGAGAGTTTGCTAGTCCTGTGGGAGGAGAGTTTGCTAGTCCTGTGGGAGGAGAGTTTGCTAGTCCTGTGGGAGGAGAGTTTGCTAGTCCTGTGGGAGGAGAGTTTGCTAGTCCTGTGGGAGGAGAGTTTGCTAGTCCTGTGGGAGGAGAGTTTGCTAGTCCTGTGGGAGGAGAGTTTGCTAGTCCTGTGGGAGGAGAGTTTGCTAGTCCTGCGGGAGGAGAGTTTGCTAGTCCTGTGGGAGGAGAGTTTGCTAGTCCTGTGGGAGGAGAGTTTGCTAGTCCTGTGGGAGGAGAGTTTGCTAGTCCTGTGGGAGGAGAGTTTGCTAGTCCTGTGGGAGGAGAGTTTGCTAGTCCTGTGGGAGGAGAGTTTGCTAGTCCTGTGGGAGGAGAGTTTGCTAGTCCTGTGGGAGGAGAGTTTGCTAGTCCTGTGGGAGGAGAGTTTGCTAGTCCTGTGGGAGGAGAGTTTGCTAGTCCTGTGGGAGGAGAGTTTGCTAGTCCTGTGGGAGGAGAGTTTGCTAGTCCTGTGGGAGGAGAGTTTGCTAGTCCTGTGGGAGGAGAGTTTGCTAGTCCTGTGGGAGGAGAGTTTGCTAGTCCTGTGGGAGGAGAGTTTGCTAGTCCTGTGGGAGGAGAGTTTGCTAGTCCTGTGGGAGGAGAGTTTGCTAGTCCTGTGGGAGGAGAGTTTGCTAGTCCTGTGGGAGGAGAGTTTGCTAGTCCTGTGGGAGGAGAGTTTGCTAGTCCTGTGGGAGGAGAGTTTGCTAGTCCTGTGGGAGGAGAGTTTGCTAGTCCTGTGGGAGGAGAGTTTGCTAGTCCTGTGGGAGGAGAGTTTGCTAGTCCTGTGGGAGGAGAGGAGTCCTGTGGGGAGAGTTTGCTAGTCCTGTGGGAGGAGAGTTTGCTAGTCCTGTGGGAGGAGAGTTTGCTAGTCCTGTGGGAGGAGAGTTTGCTAGTCCTGTGGGAGGAGAGGGAGGAGAGTTTGCTAGTCCTGTGGGAGGAGAGTTTGCTAGTCCTGTGGGAGGAGAGTTTGCTAGTCCTGTGGGAGGAGAGTTTGCTAGTCCTGTGGGAGGAGAGTTTGCTAGTCCTGTGGGAGGAGAGTTTGCTAGTCCTGTGGGAGGAGAGTTTGCTAGTCCTGTGGGAGGAGAGTTTGATAGTCCTGTGGGAGGAGAGTTTGCTAGTCCTGTGGGAGGAGAGTTTGCTAGTCCTGTGAGTTTGCTAGTCCTGTGGGAGGAGAGGAGAGAGTTTGCTAGTCCTGTGGGAGGAGAGTTTGCTAGTCCTGTGGGAGGAGAGTTTGTTAGTCCAGTGGGAGGAGAGTTAGTCCTGTGGGAGGAGAGTTTGCTAGTCCTGTGGGAGGAGAGTTAGTCCTGTGGGAGGTGAGTTTGCTAGTCCTGTGGGAGGAGAGTTAGTCCTGTGGGAGGAGAGTTTGCTAGTCCTGTGGGAGGTGAGTTTGCTAGTCCTGTGGGAGGAGAGTTAGTCCTGTGGGAGGAGAGTTTGTTAGTCAGTGATGGTGTTATATTCTTAAGAGTGCCACGGCTGTCATTAAGATTGTTGATAGCTGAATAACGACGCTTTGTTTTGTGATTCTCATCTTTTGCTTGTCCACGAAGTTGAAGCAGGTGCAGAACTTTGAGAATGTTGATCTTCAACATGAAAGTAAAGCCGCCGAAATATCTTCGGCGTTGTAGACTTTGATGTACTGACCAGTTCAACCCCAACAGGTCAAGATTTAAGAGAAGTCTTTTCGAATGGTTCTTCCAGATGCCGGATAAGGGATGGGGACGCAGGCTGTCCTGAAGAGCGGTGCATACAAATGTTGGGAAGGAACTTGAGTATCATACAAAGTTTGTAACCACTGCTGTCAAGAAGACACGAGATATGCCTTTGCGGGGTTTCTTGCCTGCCTTGCCAGGTTCATCATGTGCTTCTTCATGGGGCACTTAAGAGTCGAGCTTCATGCGTGCAGAAGCTCGACTCTTAAGTAGTGTTGTTACAACAACAACAAATGTTGCGACATTTGTCGCAACATTTGCAACTGATGTTGCAAATTACCCTGTGGTGTGCAGGACACAAATTAAGAGGGTCTCTGATTATCCTCCGATAAATATTTTCATTAAAATCTATGTAGAATGGAACATTGAATTCCAAATGCTTAAAACTTCACTAGTAGTTCATGGTATCTTACCAGTTCAAAGGTATACCTGTAAAGGTATACCTGCAATGTCTAATGCAAAAAACACAGCTGGTCTTAGATTCATCCAGTGATGAATTCGGTGATTGTCATTTAGTGATGAGGTTTGACAGGATCTTCAGCAGAACGATCTTTCTTGGATCTAAATTGACGATCAATCTTAACAACTACGTTCTCCTAACAACACGTCGCATTTTGACATATACTTTACCTAAGGTGAAAAAACTGTCGTACAAGAAAACGGTAGCAGCTCGAAATTTATGTACTGTCCCGTTTTCTGTTGGTGGGTCCTCTGGTAGGTTAGGTTTGGGTACTTTAATACGACAGTTTCTTGACGTTTCGGACGTTCGCGAGAACAGGGTTGTCTCCCGCTTCCCCATGTGACTATCACACGTCCAAGACCATTCCCACATTCATTTTCCTATCTCTCTCATTCCTTGTCTCTCATTTCTTACCTTTCATATTCCTTGATTTTTCCTTCAATTTGCCTCCTATGTCATCTCATTTACTCACTTCTCAATACCACTTGGGCTGGACGGTAGAGCGACCGACTCGCTTCGTGCAAGGTCGGAGTTTAATCCCCGACCGTACTAATGGTTGGGCACTATTCCTTTCCCTCCGTCCCATCCCAAATCCTTATCCTGACACCCCCCCCCCCCATCCCCAGGGGCTATATACTCGTAATGGCTTGGCGCTTTTCCCTGATATTTATTATTATTATTATTCTCAATACTGATATTTCTTCTCCGGGCTTTTTTCCGTTTCCATATTTTCCAGTTCTTCACTAGTTTCTCCTTCAATTCACTGGTGTTCATTCCCTGTTCAGAGGCCAGATTCACGAAGCAGCTGCGCAAGCACTTGCGAACTTGTGGCCAGATTCACGAAGCCGTTACGCAAGCACTTACGAACCTCTACATCTTTTTTTGAATGTTTGACGGTTTTGTTTACAATTATTAAACAGTTAATGAGCTCCGAAGCACCAGGAGGCTGTTTATAACAATAACAACAGTTGATTGGCAAGTTTTCATGCTTGTAAACTGTTTAATAAATGTTAAAGCCGTCAAAGATTGAAGAAAGATGTAAATGTTCGTAAGTGCTTGCGTAACTGCTTCGTGAATCTGGCCCCAGGTTCGTAAGTGCTTGCGTAACTGCTTCGTGAATCTGGCCCCAGGTTCGTAAGTGCTTGCGTAACTGCTTCGTGAATCTGGCCCCAGGTTCGTAAGTGCTAGCGTAACTGCTTCGTGAATCTGGCTCCCCTGCCTAACAGTGTTCAATAGGAACCAATGCAACCTGTAATGAGTGGGGGAAGAAATCTGCCTTTTGTTCACTGGTGTTCAAAGATGTCTCGTCACACTGGGTGAACTCCTTGTTGCACGTTGGGTCTCGGACACACCTTTTGTTTTCATATAGTTTTTTTTTTAATAATTGTTTTAAACAATACATTAAACAATATTTGTTTTAAAACAATGCAATACATTTATTATTGTGTGCTTGCTGATATGATTTTTTGTTAATGGTCTTTGATATTAATGTCGGTACGGCAGACTCCCGTGCCTGCCGTGCCTGTCGGTACGTCAGACTCCAGACTGCCGTGCTGTTGTACATATTACAGGCGATCAGTCACAATAACGTGGCTGAAGTATGTTGACCAGACCACACACTAGAAGTTGAAGGGACGACGACGTTTCGGTCCGTCCTGGACCATTCTCAAGTCGAATTTGACTTGAGAATGGTCCAGGACGGACCGAAACGTCGTCGTCGTCCCTTCAACTTCTAGTGTGTGGTCTGGTCAACATTGTACATATTTGTTGATGATCTGTAATTCTTACGTCAGTCTGAGAGCAGCGTCCGTTCCGTATATATATATATATATATATATATATATATATATATATATATATATATATATATATATATATATATATATATATATGTCGTACCTAGTAGCCAGAACTCACTTCTCAGCCTAATATGCAAGGCCCGATTTGCCTAATAATCAAAGTTTTCATGAATTAATTGCTTTTCGACTACCTAACCTACCTAACCTAACCTAACCTAACTTTTTCGGCTACCTAACCTAACCTAACCTATAAAGATAGGTTAGGTTAGGTTAGGTAGGTTGGTTAGGTTCGGTCATATATCTACGTTAATTTTACCTCCAATAAAAAAAAATTGACCTCTTACATAATGAAATGGGTAGCTTTATCATTTCATAAGAAAAAAATTATAGCAAATATATTAATTCATGAAAACTTGGCTTATTAGGCAAATCGGGCCTTGCATTGTAGGCTGAGAAGTGAGTTCTGGCTACTAGGTACGACATATATATATATATATATATATATATATATATATATAATATATCTATATATTGCTTCAACTACCTACCCTCGTTCTCAACCGTTTCTACTCTTAACCACTTTATCTGTTCCGTTTCTTTGATTCTCTGTTATGTTATCTTCCTACTTATCTCTGTTATCTTATCTTTCTTTTTATTATCTTAACATCGACAATTTTTCCCACCTTATTTTCAGATTTACTTGACAATTATCTTATTTTTCAACTTCGCTTTTCCGTCGTCTCATCTTATCTGTCAATTCCTTCTCTCACTCCATATCTCCGATAATCTCTGCCTTTCTCCTCTTATTCTCTCCTTCTGACCTTACACTTATCTTCCTACCCTTATAACCTCTTAATACGTCCTCCTCCCTCCCTTCCCACCCCTTCTGTTCCATAATTTTTGTCCTCCCTTTCCTCTCTCACCTTATTTTCTCTCTCCCTTTCCTTCACCTATCTTCACTTCGGTTCTTCCCTTACCCAACAATCTATTCTCCATTTCCTTATATCTGCCATTCCCTCATCTCCTCTCTGCTCCACACCTCACTACACCTCTCACCCCTCGGCTTCTCTCTTCTCTCACCTCGTCTCTCACCTCTTCCCTCACAACATGTCTACCCTGACCATTACTTACGTATGTTATTTCCTTCTGCGTCGCCCTCTGCCTATCGCTTGCATCACCTGACGGGTAATTTGTGGACGGAAATTAACTGTGTGAAAAGAGCCACACCCCCCCCCCTTCCCCCCTTTTCCCCCATCCCCCCTTTTCCCCATCCCTCCTTTTCCCCCCATCCCCCCTTTCCCCCCCATCCCCCCTTTCCCCCCATCCCCCCTTTTCCCCCATCCCCCCTTTTCCCCCCCATCCCCCCTTTTCCCCCATCCCCCCTTTTCCCCCATCCCCCCTTTCCCCCTTCCATAACCTCTCTCATCACCTCTTAACTTCCCCCCACCTCCTCCCCCCCTCCTCTCCCTCCCTCACTATCCCATTATCTCACCCCCCTTCGCGAGGTGTGAGGTATAACAAGACTTTGAAGCAAATGAAGAAGTTGGGAAGACGTAGTTCATTCTTGAACTACGTAACTACTGTAACTTGAACTTCTTGAACTACTCTCTGTAACGCTTAGTCTTGTAGCTAATAGGGGGGGGGTGGTATTGTGCATTCGAGTTTGTTAACTACAGCAACATAGCCAAAACTTTCATCAAAGGAGACATGTCATTGTCCTCAAAAATACTTTGCATTACAAGCTCACACGTCTCCACAACACTCAGCTTAATGGAATTCTCGACATGGGTGGGAATTAGCTCTATAGCTTAGTGGT